AACACAGTGAACCCCTGAGATAGGATACGGACTGAGCTTATTAATCCCTGAACTGGGATACGGACTGCGATCGTTAACCCCTGAACTGGAATACGGACTGTGCTGGTTAACCCCTGAGCTGGGATACGGACTGCGATCGTTAACCCCTGAACTGGAATACGGACTGTGATCGTTAACCCCTGAGCTGGGATACGGACTGCAATCGTTAACCCCTGAACTGGAATACGGACTGTGCTGGTTAACCCCTGAGCTGGGATACGGACTGCGATCGTTAACCCCTGAACTGGAATACGGACTGTGATCGTTAACCCCTGAGCTGGGATACGGACTGTGATCGTTAACCCCTGAACTGGGATACGACTGTGCTGGTTAACCCCTGAGCTGGGATACGGACTGCGATCGTTAACCCCTGAACTGGAATACGAACTGTGATCGTTAACCCCTGAGCTGGGATACGGACTCGTTAACCCCTGAGCTGGGATACGGATAATCGTTAACCCCTGAACTTAACCCCTGACTGTGCTGGTTAACCCCTGAGCTGGGATACGGACTGCGATCGTTAACCCCTGAACTGGAATACGGACTGTGATCTGGTTAACCCCTGAGCTGGGATACGGACTGCGGACTGGGATACGGAATCGTTAACCCCTGAACTGGATACGGACTGTGCTGGTTAACCCCTGAGCTGGGATACGGACTATCGTTAACCCCTGACTGAATACGGACTGTGGTTAACCCCTGAGCTGGGATACGGACTATCGTTAACCCCTGAACTGGAATACGGACTGTGCGTTAACCCCTGAGCTGGGATACGGACGGTTAACCCCTGCTGGGATACGTAACCCCTGAGCTGGGATACGGACTGATCGTTCGTTAACCCCTGAGCTGGGATACGGACTGCGATCGTTAACCCACTGAGCTGGGATACGGACTGTGATCGTTAACCCCTGAGCTGGGATACGACTGTGATCGGTAACCCCTGAGCTGGGATACGGACTGCGCTCGCTAACCCCTGAGCTGGGATATGGACTGCGATCGTTAACCCCTGAGCTGGGATACGGACTGGTTAACCCCTGAGCTGATACGGACTGCTCGTTAACCCCTGAGCTGGGACTATCGGAGCTGGGATACGGACTGTGCTGGTTAACCCCTGAGCTGGGATACGGACGTTAACCCCTGAGCTGCGATCGTTAACCCCTGAGCTGGGATACAGACTGTGATCGTTAACCCCTGAGCTGGGATACGGACTGCGATCGTTAACCACTGAGCTGGAATACGGACTGTTAACCCCTTGTTAGCCCCTGAGCTGGGATACGGACTGTGCTCGTTAACCCCTGAGCTGGGATACGGACTGTGATCGTAACCCCTGAGCTGGGATACGGACTGTGTTAACCCCTGAGCTGGGATGAGCGTTAACCCCTGAGCTGGGATACGGATCGTTAACCCCTGAGCTGGGATACGGACTGTGGAGCTGCTGTGATCGTTAACCCCCTGAGCTGGAATACGGACTGATCGTTAACCCCCTTGGTTGACCCCTGAGCTGGGATACGGACTGTGATCGTTAACCCCTGAGCTAGGATACGGACTGCGCTTGTTAACCCGTTAACCCCTGAGCTGGGATACGGACTGTGATCGTTAACCCCTGAGCTGGGATACGGACTGAGCTGATACGGACTGTGATCGTTAACCCCTGAGCTGGGATACGTTAACCCCGAGCTGTACGGACTGTGATCGTTAACCCCTGAGCTGGGATACGGACTGATCGGCTCGTTAACCCCTGAGCTGGGATACGGACTGTGATCGTTAACCCCTGAGCTGGGATACTGACTGATGATCGTTAAATCGTTAAACCCTGAGCTGGGATACGGACTGTGATCGTTAAACCCTGAGCCGGGATACGGACTGTGCTGGTTAACCCCTGAGCTACCACTTAGTAGTGAGTGCCAGGAGTGGTAACAGTGGCACATATACTGCCTTTTTCTCTAACGCATTTTCCCAATATTCATGGCTTTAAGCGTATAGAATACAAAAAATGGTTCAGCGCTAATCAACGAAAAGGCAGCAACCCTAAAAGGGGACTCACTCTAAACCCTTTAGAGAATATACAGAAATAAAATGATAAAAAAGGGCTGCGCCAATAGACAATATAAAAAAAGAAATCGATTTTTGGAAAAAAACAAGAAATAAGTCATAGTCTCTTTAGTACAGCAAGGACTTTTCTTTGGGTAGGGCAGCGGTCTTTATTTTCTGGTTGAGGTATATAGAAAGACAAAAGCAGAAAGGGTGGAAATAGTGTAATACTACATATCTATGTAATAAAAAATGACAGTATCACACTCACATTTTATAGAGCCTTAGCCAGCTCTAGCATGTATAGCGAGCGGTGTTATAATCCCCACTTATAGGATATATTGGAGGTGTCTGTTTGGTTCACGATGACAGGAACCAAGAGAGATATAGATAAGGCGACAGATAGTGCTCTCGATAAAACAAGCAATGTGTATAATAAATATAGTTAAAATATACTCACAAATATAGAGCATACTAACTGCTCTATGATGACAGTGTTGATGGTTTGATCCCCACCTAGGATTGCTTTGGAGTAGAGATGAAAGATGCCAGGAAGCATGAAAACCATATTAAAACTAATTAAAAAAGGTAATTAGCACAGCATACAAGTGTAGTGACCAAAATCCTTTAATAGTTAAAATACAAAGTAGTAACATCCCTTTAACGTTTTTCAAATGGAGTAAAAACATACAACTGGCTAGAGAGGTTTTATATAGACATCAACCAGAAAATAAAGACTGCTGCCCTACCCAAAGAAAAGTCCTTGCTGTATTAAAGACTAAAACGTCTACTATCAAGAGACTAGATTTTGTGAGGACTATCAGCAACCCTCTCCACGTCATCTCCGCAACCCTCTCCACGTCATCTCCACAACCCTCTCCACATCATCTCCTCAACTCTCTCCACGTCATCTCTTCAACTCTCTCCACGTCATCTCCACAACCCTCTCCATGTCATCTCAGCAACCCTCTCCACGTCATCTCAGCAACTCTCTCCACGTCATCTCCACAACCCTCTCCACATCATCTCTTCAACTCTCTCCACGTCATCTCCACAACCCTCTCCATGTCATCTCAGCAACCCTCTCCACGTCATCTCCGCAACCCTCTCCACGTCATCTCCACAACCCTCTCCACGTCATCTCAGCAACCCTCTCCACGTCATCTCCACAACCCTTTCCACGTCATCTCCACAACCCTCTCCACGTCATCTCAGCAACCCTCTCCACATCATCTCTTCAACTCTCTCCACGTCATCTCCACAACCATCATCTCAACCCTCTCCCTAACAACCTCCACTTGTGCCCATTAGACAGTGTTTGAATAAAACTCACACTGGGTGCCATTAGGGTACTCAAAGTCCAAACAGCAGTATTTAAATGTAGATCCCCATGTTTTATAGAAATACAACTAGAATTGTTATTGTTGCTGCTAAATATTGATGCTTAGTATCAGACAGACCAGCCGTGCCCCACGAATTTTAAATAATTACATATAATCCTGTTATATCACATCCAATTCTAACAAGCAGACTAAATGTAAATGCAATTCCCATAGACTGTGATAGTGACTCTCACCTGTGCCAACTGCAGTCAGTCCTTTGTCCCCTTTTTCTCACCCACAGGTAGAGGGCTCAGCTCCTGTCACCTTCTCACCCACAAGTAGAGGGCTCAGCTCCTGTCCCTTCTCACCCACAGGTAGAGGGCTCAGCTCCTGTCCCTTCTCACCCACAGGTAGTGGGGTCAGCTCCTGCCCCTTCTCACCCACAGGTAGAGGGCTCAGCTCCTGTCCCTTCTCACCCACAAGTAGAGGACTCAGCTCCTGCCCCTTCTCGCCCACAGGTAGAGGGCTCAGCTCCTGCCCCTTTCTCACCCACAGGTAGAGGGCTCAGCTCCTGTCCCCTTCTCACCCACAGGTAGAGGGATCAGCTCCTGTCCCCTTCTCACCAACAAGTAGAGGACTCAGCTCCTGTCCCCTTCTCACCCACAGGTAGAGGTTTTAAGACCTGTCCCTTCTCACCCACAGGTAGAGGGTACAGCTCTTGTCCCCTTCTCACCCACAAGTAGAGGACTCAGCTCCTGCCCCTTGTCACCCACAGGTAGAGGTTTTAAGTCCTGTCCCCTTTTCACCCACAGGTAGAGGGCACAGCTCCTGTCCCCTTCTCACCCACAGGTAGAGGGCTCAGCTACTGACCCTTCTCACCCACAGGTAGAGGGCTAAGCTCCTGCCCCTTCTCACCCACAGGTAGAGGGATCAGCTCCTGTCCCCTTCTCACCTATAAGTAGAGGACTCAGCTCCTGTCCCATTCTCACCCACAGGTAGAGGTTTTAAGTCCTGTCCCTTCTCACCCACAGGTAGAGGGTACAGCTCCTGTCCCTTCTTACCCACAGGTAGAGGGTTCAGCTCCTGTCCCTTCTCACCCACAGGTAGACGGCTCAGCTCCTGCCCCTTCTCACCCACAGGTAGAGGGCTCAGCTCCTGTCCCTTCTCACCCACAAGTAGAGGACTCAGCTCCTGCCCCTTCTCGCCCACAGGTAGAGGGCTCAGCTCCTGCCCCTTCTCACCCACAGGTAGAGGGCTCAGCTCCTGCCCCTTCTCACCCACAGGTAGAGGGCTCAGCTCCTGTCCCCTTCTCACCCACAGGTAGAGGGATCAGCTCCTGTCCCCTTCTCACCCACAAGTAGAGGACTCAGCTCCTGTCCCCTTCTCACCCACAGGTAGAGGTTTTAAGTCCTGTCCCTTCTCACCCACAGGTAGAGGGTACAGCTCCTGTCCCCTTCTCACCCACAAGTAGAGGACTCAGCTCCTGCCCCTTGTCACCCACAGGTAGAGGTTTTAAGTCCTGTCCCCTTTTCACCCACAGGTAGAGGGCACAGCTCCTGTCCCCTTCTCACCCACAGGTAGAGGGCTCAGCTACTGACCCTTCTCACCCACAGGTAGAGGGCTAAGCTCCTGCCCCTTCTCACCCACAGGTAGAGGGCTCAGCTCCTATCCCCTTCTCACCCACAGGTAGAGGGATCAGCTCCTGTCCCCTTCTCACCTACAAGTAGAGGACTCAGCTCCTGTCCCATTCTCACCCACAGGTAGAGGTTTTAAGTCCCGTCCCTTCTCACCCACAGGTAGAGGGTACAGCTCCTGTCCCTTCTTACCCACAGGTAGACGGCTCAGCTCCTGTCCCCTTCTCACCCACAAGTAGAGGACTCAGCTCCTGCCCCTTGTCACCCACAGGTAGAGGTTTTAAGTCCTGTCCCCTTTTCACACACAGGTAGAGGGCACAGCTCCTGTCCCCTTCTCACCCACAGGTAGAGGGCTCAGCTACTGACCCTTCTCACCCACAGGTAGAGGGCTCAGCTCCTGTCCCTTCTCACTCACAGGTTGAGGGCTCAGCTCCTGCCCCTTCTCACCCACAGGTAGAGGGCTCAGCTCCTGTCCCTTCTCACCCACAGGTAGAGGGCTCAGCTCCTGTCCCCTTCTCACCCACAGGTAGAGGGCTCAGCTCCTGTCCCCTTCTCACCCACAGGTAGAGGGCTCAGCTCCTGTCCAGGATTCTCCCTCACCCCCTTCTGTCCATTCTTCTGTTTAACAGGAACCCAAATGGTGCCCCTCACAGGGATTATCTTGGGGGCCCAATTATAGGAAATAAAACATGTTTTGAGACTCTCCCTGTTGTCACAGACCTGTCCATTGCACTTGGAATAGCAGTGATAAACAGCTAACAGTCACCTGGGGCACAGTTTGGGTGATGATCTAAGGGTTTAAAACCAGGACAGTCCCTAGTCTCACACAGGGGGTTTCATCCCTCCCCCTCCACCTTTTTAGTCTCTCACCCTGTACTGACTCTCTCTCTTCCTCTCTCCTTCTCTTCCCTTTCTTTCACTCTCACCCTCTCTCTTACTCCTTTCTCACTGTCTCCCTCCCCCCTCTCTCTCTGTTTTCCAGTGTCACTGTCTGAATGTAAGTAACCTGTCTTTCTCTCTCTCACTGTGTGAATGTACCTAACCTGTCTCTCTCTCCTCTCTCTCACTGTCTGTCTCTCCTCTCTCTCACTGTTTGTCTCTCCCCTCTCTCTCACGGTGTCTCCTCTCTTCTCTCTCACTGTGTCTGTCTCTCCTCTCTCTCACTGTCTGTCTCTCCCCTCTCTCTCACTGTGTCTGACTCTCCTCTCTCTCTCTCTCACTGTGTCTGTCTCTCATCTCTCACTGTGTCTGTCTCTCCTCTCTCTCACTGTGTCTGTCTCTCCTCTCTCTCACTGTTTGTCTCTCCCCTCTCTCTCACGGTGTCTCCTCTCTTCTCTCTCACTGTGTCTGTCTCTCCTCTCTCTCACTGTCTGTCTCTCCCCTCTCTCTCACTGTGTCTGACTCTCCTCTCTCTCTCTCTCACTGTGTCTGTCTCTCATCTCTCACTGTGTCTGTCTCTCCTCTCTCTCACTGTGTCTGTCTCTCCTCTCTCTCACTGTTTGTCTCTCCCCTCTCTCTCACGGTGTCTCCTCTCTTCTCTCTCACTCTCTCCTCTCTCTCTCTCACTGTGTCTGTCTCTCCTCTCTCTCTCACACTGTCTCTCCTCTCTCACTGTGTCTGTCTCTCCTCTCTGTCTCTCTCTCACTGTGTCTGTCTCTCATCTCTCACTGTGTCTGTCTCTCCTCTCTCTCACTGTGTCTGTCTCTCCTCTCTCTGTCTCTCTCTCACAGTGTATGTCTCTCCTCTCCTACTGTCTCTCTCAATGTCTGTCTCTCCTCTCTCTCTCACTGTTTCTCTCTCACACTGGGTCTGACTCTCCTCTCTCTCTCACAGTGTCTTCCTCTCCTCTCTCTCTCACTGTGTGTCTCTCCGCTCTCACTGCCTCTCTCTCACAGTGTCTGTCTCTCCTCTCTCACTGTCTCTCTCTCACAGTCTGTCTCTCCTCTCTCTCACTGTCTATCTCTCCCCTCTCTCACTGTGTCTGACTCTCCACTTTCTCTCTCACAGTGTCTGTCTCTCCTCTCTCACTGTCTCTCTCTCACTGTGTCTGTCTCTCCTCTCTCACTGTCTCTCCTCTCTCACTGTCTCTCTCTCACTGTGTCTGTCTCTCCTCTCTCACAGTGTCTGTCTCTCTCTCTGTCTCTCCTCTCTCACTGTCTCTCCTCTCACTGTCTCTCCTCTCTCACTGTCTCTCTCTCACTGTGTCTGTCTCTCCTCTCTCACAGTGTCTGTCGCTCTCTCTGTCTCTCCTCTCTCACAGTGTCTGTCTCTCTCTCTCACTGTGTGAACGTACCTAACCTGTCTCTCTCCATCTTGCAGAGTTTGTTTCCCCTCTCCCTCCCCCCTTTCCATGTTCCTCTCCCTCTTAAGCCGTCCCTCCCCCCCACACACACACTTTCTATGGAATCTACCCAGCTATTTTATCTCTGTAATGTGTCCTTGTATCTCTCCCTGGAAATGCCACCATTAATTGACAGCTTTTCAGGGGACCCCAATATAACCCCCCCCCCTCTTTGTTCCTGTAGTATTACATTTTATCCACCTGTCTCTGTAACTGTATCCAATCAGCTCCCAGCCTTCTATTACCAAGGTGACCGGACAGGGGATGCAGGCAGTGTACCAGAACAGTCATCCTCATACAAAGTATCAGGTTCATGGACTGCAACTCCCATCACTCTCTAACAGCTTTCAGCTGAGCCTTGTATCAGAGCTGGGTCACATTTATTGGGGGTTTCTCACACATTTTCCAGCCTGCCTCCTAGATATGACTTGGACTCTATGCAGTCTGAGTTATTCTCAAACTATCGAATTGTTTTCAGATCGATAGCAAATAAGGGACTTATCTACTAAGAAACTGAAAGAGAAAATGTAATAAAAAGAGCTTTTCTTATTTTTGCTCTTTCAGCAGTTTAGCAGATAACTCCCTATATCGTTATGTGGGTACTTTAGGGTACAAATTAGGGATATATCTGCAGAACAGTGCCTAATTTAGTATTCTTTGAAAAATTAGAATAATGGCGTATGGATTTATTCGCAAATCGCCAATTTACAATTTCGGATTAACTAAAATTTGAAATATAATAAACACAGAACTCTGAATGTTCATATTTCTCATATTCACGCTGTGCGTCTCCGGGAGAATGTAAGAATTTAATAGTGTAACATCGGTAAATTGTCTGGAATAATACAAAAAATGCAACAACTCCCAAACTCTTGCGCCACCATTGCTGAATGTAGAGGGCTGGTGGAGGAATAGCCTCCGAGTCTGGGAAGGTAGGTTGGAGTGTAGGTATTTAGGTTAGACTTTCACCCAGTAAAATAAAACAATTCTGATTCTGTCCGCAAAGCCCCATCGTTTTACAACCGGCATATCATGGACGTCCACAAGCAAGGTGGACTGGGGAACCGCATAGAGAAAAGGAAACATTCTTAGACACCAAGGCATTTAAGAGAATAAAATACAGGAAAAATTTTTGAAGAAAATCACAGAAAATAGATTGAGTGAGATAAGCCGAGTCGTAAGTAAGTGTTGAACGCCATCGAGATCAGGAATATAACAAAACATGTCCAAGGATAGAAAACTCCAAAGGCTTTAGCTAATGTCCATGAACTGTTTGTCCTGTCTCAGACTTTGTCTTTCTGCCATTTTGGAGGAGTGCCATCACCTGTTGTTGAGCGTTATTCATTCCTCGGAGTGGAATGGTACAAACGCAGAGTGTGGGCTAAGCAAATTATGTTTTCATGATTTACTGTGTGGTAACTTTGTTAATGAAATAAAGGAAGGAAGGGCAGGTAACGCTGGCACATGGGATGGTCAGGGCCGCACATGCCACCGGCACAGCTAAACTGCAACCAGGGTTTAACTAGGCACTCTGTAACCGCGAGTATCCCTATTTACCACTATAACGTCTTAATAGATAGAATTTAGCAGGGCTAACCATACAGATATCTTAACTAAAATATGATATAGTCGGTACGAGTTTCTCTATTTAAAATATATAAATAATTGAGAATTCAATGAAAATAGGGAGTTGGAAACAATAACCTTTTGACTTTATAAAATAGTTTATTGAATATAAATGAATACAGATATATAAACGTAATAATCCATTAATATATATCATAAAGCAGAGTATATAGAATTAAATGAATACATGCTTGCAATACATATAAAGTATTAGTATAACATACCCTCCTGATTACAGGTAATCTCTCAGTATATATGTCACCTTCAAAGTCTGTCAGCATGTGTCTGTCCAGCATTGGTCATCATGTGTATATATAGTATAACATTTCCAATTACAACTGGTGGTGTATAGGTTAATTCATTGTAAGGGTAATGCAGTTCATAAATGAGAAAGGAAAAGTTCATTAGAAGTCAGTATGACGTAGCATAGCCTTGATGATGTTTATTCTTGTTATTGTACTAAGCTAAAACAAAATGGCGTAGCAATGTATATTATCGTACAATTGCCCATCACAACTCCAATGCCACTTAGCAGAGAAGGTGCCCCCCACCCTCCCTTTTTTGTATGATTTTGAAGTTTGTTCTTGCGTTCTGTTTTTCTGGTTTGTTTTGTCACAGTTTAGCAATATTCCGGGCCAATGTGGTGAAGTAGTGGTACCTGACTGAGGGGGGGCGCTGTCTGCATGGAGACAGGTTGTATGTAGTCTTGGAATTCAAGCAGAGTTGCCGTATTCCCCCGGGTCGCAGTTTGTTAAATGATGAAGCAGGCAAGTTGTAAAATAAAAGCTTTGGACATTGTCCTATCCACTGTAGCACGGCTTCATATCCTTTACTGGTAGAGTAACAGGAGGATGGGTGTCTGTAGGATGGAAAGGGATCATCAGCTCAGAAGTAATGAGATGATCAATATGGGGGTTAATTGACATCACAAAAATCTCTTTATATTTATTTCCTGGACAGAGTGTCCAGCTAAGATACAATCCGTCTGCTGATCTGCAATCTGGTACTGAATTGGAGCTAATAGAGGATTTTTGGAAATAAGCACAGCTAGCGCTGCATCCATTGTACAGCACTGCGGAATTTGTTGGTGCTCTATTAATAATAATTAAGTATTAAGTAATTAAGTGGGATTTCTAATCTTCTATCTTTTATCATGTATTTAACCATTTGTGGATTTCTAACTTTCCCTTCCCTTGCTGTATTACATGGCAATCACTCTGTGTCAAACACCCCAGTGCTCTGTTTAATGATTGC